GCGCTAGAAAATCCGGAACCAAAGCTCCATGTTACAATTTGTCGGCGGCAGCCAAATACCCCCTTTAACGACCACAACTGCTTCATCCAACCAATGAACGAGGTCAATCATACTTGGGTTTGGGCATCAGATTTTTATTATGAATCCTATCTTACTTTTAGTCTTGGGCCGTAATATTCTCATTATGAGCCCATCTTGTTGTGCATTTTCAAACGGGCCATATTTACTTGCAGAAGTGCTATTTCAATTCTGTGGCCTACAAAGTGGCCTTTCTCACGGCCCAAAAACGGTCCAATGCCTCGCCAGCGAGTGAGCTTTCTTTCATTTCGTTCATAAAACCTTGGAAATGGGAAATTTAACTTTAGTTTAAAAAAAAAAAAAACCTTGTAAATGGGAGTGGCCTGGTTTATCTAAGAAAGGCAAAGATGGGGAGATTTTTATGTTGTTTGATTTTTAATAAAGGCATGAATGGGGATGAAAGATAATAGACAAGCAATCTACATTATATTCTATTGTATTTGGCTCATGATATAGCTTTGGCCCACTACCTCATTTGTATATGTAGACAATATTTCAGCAAATAATACGATGGCAGATTCAATTATTTATGGTATCAGAGCGTAATTAGAGCACCAAAATTGCATCTTCTCGTAGCATATCATTTAGGTTTTTCTCTTTGCAGTCATGTCTATCATGTCTTCCTCACCCGCAATCTCTTCTCAAACCTCATTTGTCTTAGTCTCACCTATTTCTACTTCTCCTCTCTCAATTGTAACACCATCCCTTTCTCCTTCTTTAATGACCACTACATCTGTGTCCTCTATTCAATCATCCAATAATTACAGTTTCCAATATACGAAACTTTGTTTTTGAGACCCTAACTCATGATAACTATGTCATATGGAGAGAGTTTATGATTCTTATTGTGTGTAGCAAAGGCATTTTCAAACATTTAGATGGATCTGATCCTTGCTCTTTACCAACAGATCCAAGTTTTGAACAATAACAGCAAATAAATTTTCAAGTTCTTTCTTAGATACATGCGACAATCTCAAAAGATGTTTTGTAGTTAATCATTTAACCTGACATAACTTTGACTATGAAAGAGGCTTGGGATTCAATCAAAGTGGCCTATAATGATCAACTAAAAGCTAATGCCATATTATGTCAACAAGATTTTGCTGGTTTGCACAAAGAGCCTACTCAATCTATGATGGAGTATCTAGGTCGTGCTAAAGCCTTGTCTGATCGATTGCATGGCATAGGACAACCACCTACTGATAAAGAATTGGTTATTCAAACTTTGGTTGGGTTAGATGAAGCCTATAGTGTTCCCAAATGCACCATGCCGTAGAGAGTTCCTTTTCCTTCCTTCTTTCAACTTTACTCACTCTTGATGATTGAAGAAGTTGGTATTCAACGTGATAGCAATCATCTTTTAAGTGTAGCTTTGTTTTCCTCACCCCAAGTGCTAGTTGCTTCTAATTATTCCTAGCATGTGGGTGCCTATCGTCCTCAAGGTAGAAATCATGGTGGTTAGAGTGGTAATAAGGGATGAGGTGGTCAATTCAATGGCAATCGGTCTCAATCACAAGCTTATTTTTCTCAAGCATAGAACTTGGCTCTATCAGGTTTCTCTAGCAATTGTCGTTTCCCTTCTTCTTTGCCTATTCATCAATCCTTCACTCCTTGCGCCCCATGGAATGCAGTCTCATCGAGCCTTCCTTTGTTGCCTACACCATCCCCTCTAGTAGTCTGTCAATGGTGTAGTAAGCCCAATCACAAAGCCAAAGATTGTCCACTTATACCTCATCCGTCTCAAGGTAAATACCCACAGCCGACATCATATCCATAGCAATCATTCGTGATTGAGAGTGCTCCACCATCTCAATTTGTCTTTGATAATGCATCTACCGGTGGCTAGGAGTTTGATTTTGGTTTTGCAGTCCATGTCTCCACAAATACAAGTAATTTATCTTCTTCTACTCCTTACACTAGTCCTAAGTCTATTTAGGTTAGGAATGATCAACTTTTACCTATTTCTCATGTTGGTAGTACCTTACTTCATTTTAATAATTGTTCTTTTTAACTTCGTAATATCTTAGTTTGTCCACAAATTTCCAAAAATTTAATTTCTATTTGTCAATTTACCAAAGATAATAATTATAGTGTTGATTTTGACCTTTCTGGTTTTTCTATTAAGGATTTGCAATTGAAGAATGCCCTCCTTCATTGTAATAGTACAATTGGTTTATACTTTTTTGGTTAAATAGCCTTTTTGGTCCCTCTACTATAAGAAAAAGCTCCTTTTTGGTCCCTGTACCGAAAAAATCCCTTTTTTTATCCCTAAACTTTAAAATC